TGTTATTGTTCAGGTGGGTAGTTTCAGGGGATTCCCCTGACACTGCCATCTCATCTTTGCAGCCGAAAGGTTTGGCATCATCTGAGCTCTGGTGGATCAAAATTCCCCAGGAAAACACAACAGGTACTTTTCCAGTAAGATCAAACAACTCGATTGATTTGATTTCGAAGGTAAAAATAAAGCAAAAAAGACTGTTGGTCAATAGAGGCGTGCAAAAACAGTCTCACTACATCAACTATGTTAATGAACACGGAGTAGTATGTAGCTGTAAAGGAAAGCAATATGTGGGTTTTAAAAGGGTTTGTAAAGCAAAAGGCGGTAAAGTGTGGCTTGTGTTTCAAGCTCCTTTACTCTGATACCACCAAATAAAGTCTGGTACGACCAACCAAAAGTGGTGAACAGTCATTCATTAGAGAAGCTATAAATGTCCACAGCTCAGGTTAGGAGACCTGTCCATAAGAGAAGTGTTTATTCTAAACTACAAAAAGATGGTTACTGCAGATGAACAGAGTAATTAGATATCCATTTAAGGTTTGCCTTGTTGGCCAAATAACAGATGCAACCAGAGGCCCTTTGAAATGCTTTGTTCAACTGTAAGGATGAGCAAACAAGTGGAATACATAGTCGGTCCTAAGGGCCATTCATCTGCATTAGATGTGATGGAGCAGGATCAAACCTAAAATCTTCAGGAGACTGACCCCTGGTTGGAGTTGGACATGCGTGGCCTAGAAAGAGTAGGACAAAGTGTTTTACCTGAACACGGGATTACAATGAGAAAGCAGATACCATTTGAACCAATATAAAATGTACTGCAATGCCCGCAGTTTAAATATAATAGGGCTAAATTAATTACATTAAAAAGCTCCTTTATGGTTAATTTATTTATTTTATTTGAAAAAAAATATTCATTTTGAGGTGAATAACTGTTTAGGATAAAACAACGGACACATGGAACTGACTGAGAAGAAGCAGACAGAATATAACTTGAATATGGAAATCAATTAAACATTTCAAAGTTTATTTTACTGCAATAAATATTCACCAGCATAAATGTTATTGCATATACAAACAATAGATAAAGTACAAAACATAATTTGTTTCTATGATTTATTACTGTGGTATCTTTTCTTTTTTCATCTTACTGGAATACATAATTAATACACATTTTCAAGAATTCATTATGTACACATAAAGTCATTCCCCCACAGACAGATCTTTACTTCTTCATTTTCCATATTACTTGCAGTTATCAGACATACTCTGATATTCTAGGCTGGCCAGCCAAACTGACTTTGACATGACGTAAGTCAGTCTGGTAGACCAGACCACATGAAGCTGATTATGATTTGTTTTTATTTCTGTAATGATTAAAAAGAATCTCCCCGTGATGGAATTTCCCATTTGAAGAACCCTGGCAATGTATTAATTTGTTTTTTGAAATTTTACCATCAAGTGATGCCTGTATCCATGATACCAAAGTTTCAACAGAGTCTTATGTTGGGTTGAAAGCAGGGACACTGCCTCATTTCCAGTTTAAAGCATTAAAAACAAGAAGAAAAAGGAGATCAGACACAAATGAGAGGCTTTGTTAGTTAGCAGGTGGCATCTGTTCCTTCCTGCAGGCAAAAGGTTTGCCTTCATTTTAGTTTCGGCTGATGTAAATTCACCTGGAATATGAAACACCACAGGTACTTTTCCCAGTCAGAAAGAAAAACCCTAGATTGTTCACAGTGGTAGTGATTCAAAATTTCCCCACTTTCTTTGATCAGACCTTGGCTGGTCCCCTACAATTCCTTTCTAAACATCAATCTTTGTAATAAAATATTCTGTCATGTTTTTTGGACATTACCATTTAAAGAGGAGCGTTATCTCCTGGTCAGACCCTGTAATTCAGAGAGAGGATGGAGTAAGAGTAAAAAAAATATGCACTCCCACTGGAAGGAGGGGGTCAAATCAGTGGCTGGAAGTTGGAGGGGATTCTGCTGGGTGTTGCAGGAAAGTGGGCTGCCATTCAGCTGCCATTTGACTGGGAAGGGCCACACTGAATGGCTTCTACCGTAGATTTCAGTCGACAATGGCTTGCTAATATACACTGGGCCTGAAGCAAGGACCAAATGATGGCCTATAAAAAGGTTGCTCTGGTATCACTCAAGTAACATCATGATGGATAAAACTAAAGAGGTTTCTTAGGACCTTTGCAACCTTACCCCCAAAACACCAGACGTGATTTAGACGTTTTTTAGGCTAAATGTGGTCGGTCCGCCATAGTGCTGATTGTAATGCAGTGATATTTGTTGAAAATTGGGCTGTGATTGTTCAGTCCTCTTTTTTCCAACTATTGGAAGATAACGGCTTTTCACCTCTCACTTTTCAACCAAATTCAGACATCGTTTGGACGTGTTACCTTTTCAATGTTTTTTTTTAGATTAAAAAATGTAGGTTCATAAAAGAGAAACTGAGTCCACACAGAAGAGGGATTTTTTAACGGCTTCTGCAGAAGGAGAGAGCTACATTCAGCTACATCTACTCTCTGGTGGGTTTCCTCAGCAGAAGCCTTTTTATTAGCAGATCATAACACATGGAGTGGGTTAGAAAATAGAGTGTTCTTCTGACAAGGCAATTGATCAGGTCATAGGACAAAATGCTCCTCTGATTGAATCACAGAATGGAGTGGTCTCCTGATAACTGTGATTAGCCTTGCACAAACATCAGCAATTTTCTACCACTGTTGCATGACAGTTTGCAGTAAACAGAGTGAAGCATCTTATTTCTCCAATGTTCCATATGCACAAACAATAACTTTATAATCCTCATTGAATAAACCTGAGTTTTTTCAACCAGTTTTTGCTCGGTGTGTAATGATGGCATTGGTTACAGAAGGATTTCTAAATTTCTGAATGTTCCACTGAGCACTGATGGGACCATAATCCAGAGGTGGAAAGAATATATCATACATGTAAATTATTTACATTTATAATTTATTGAGATATTTTACATTTCCACAGCTTGTTTATATACATTTGTGTTTCTTTAGAACCATGAATTATTGCACACTGACCTGTTGTAAGCAGGGATGCTGTGGGTCTCTATGGAGTCTGATCAGCTGATAACTGGTCATTATCTTGGGTAAGAAAACGCTGATAATCCCTGAAAATGCGTTCCCCTCTAATTCTTCCATTTCCAAATGGTGCCTCTTTATACAGAAATGGGTATTAAATGCCTGAGAGTAACTGATGTAATCTGGCTTCAGTTGCCCTCAGTCACTATCTGTGTCCCTCTCTCTCCAAAATATATGCAGATGTTCGATTGCAGTAATAGGCGGCACATTTTCTCTCCAACATTGTTCGTAATAAATCAAAAACTTTGTGTGAAAGCCTATGTATGCAGTTTTCAGGTCCTGTTTTTTGAATACACCAGCTCTAGAAATGAGACGGTCAGTGGAGCACAAAGCTGTTCCTTTGGGCAATACATCTGCATCAGATGTGATAAACCTAAAGCCTGAAGGAGACTGATCCATGGTTGGACATGCCTGGTCTAGACAGATTAGGAAAGTTTGTTACCTGAACATGGGATTATCATGACATAGGCACATATCATATGAATCAGTATAAAAATGTAGTGCAATAATAACAGTATGACTATAATAGAACCCCAATAGGTTGGCTTAAAAACGCTCCCTTAGCAATTTCAAGTTTATCTGTAAAAAAGTTGATATTTGGGTGATTTACACTTTAAAATAAACTACAGTAATAGAAACAAGGAGCTGATTGAGCAGCACTAGACAAAAGATAATTTAAACATTTTAAAGTTTGCTTTATTTTAATAAATAGTCAATAGTAAATAAAAATTGAAAAACAAAAAAGGCTTTTTTTAAGTTTTCTTGTTATTCATACTTTATAGAAAACATGGACAAGATTATTTACAAAGAATCCATGAATCTTTAATGAACCAGCATTTGATTTAGAGAAACATCTTTACTTTTTTAATTTAAAAAATCAGTTCCTTTATCAGACATGTTCTGATCCGTCTGTTCAAATACTTTAAATCATTCAGTGTCGGTTAAAATGCTTTAAGTTTTCAAATAGAAAAACTTCAGTTTTCAGCAGCATCTCCTTATAAAACAGTTCATTAGCAAGTGACCTGTCACCTACATTCATAAATTAATGTATTTAAACTAACCAGCCTATTTACATAGGCTTCTCATCACATTCTGATCTACAGATCTGTTTTTCTTTTTTTTTTTAAATGTTCACTTTCCTATAAAGTCTTTTCTTTTTCTTCTATCAACACCCACATTATCAATGTTTTTGGCCTCTTTCCCAGTCTAGTCCACTTCTTTTTTTTTCTCTATCTTTCCTCCATGTTAGAGGTGGTGTTCATATCTCCCGTACTTTGCAAAATATCAGATGGAAACAAAGAGATGTTGCTCTGATCCACCTCCAGCCGCAATAAGGCAGTACAACAGCATTTAAAGTGTAGAATTAAAAACATTGACGGTTCAGCTTTACAGACCGACTGTTTGGAAACCCTCCCTAACCTGGTCGCTTCAGCCCGGCATTCAAAGCAAGCTCTATTTCTGCTTGTGAGACAATGCATGTCTTCACCTGCCTGCAGGTCTTCAGGGTGTCAGTTAAATGGTCAATATGCTAATAAATAATGAGAGTAGTGTCCTGACTTTCAGCATTATGGGAAAATATGCCTGTGAGAATCCTGAACAGGCTCAAAAATGACATGAAATGCATTAAAAGTGAAAGATGACGGAAACCAGATCATTTAGTCACGGGGTTTCCCATACCACTGTTATGCTGACAACACCCAGCTCTATCTGTCATTTCCAGCTGATGACCACACGGTCTCAGCACGCATCTCAGGGTGTCTCTCTGACATATCAAAACAGATGAAAGCCCATCACCTCCAACTGAATTCTCTCAAAAACTTAAATGCTTGTTTTCCAAGCCAATCCAGTCACACACCAAAATACTCCTATCCAGTGTGGATCCCTGTCTCTGACTCATCTCATAATTGATGACCAGCTGACATTCCAAGATCCTGTTACCTCCGTCTCTCGATCTTGACCCTTCGCCCCACTGAACATAAGAAAGATCTGGCCATAACCTAACCCAACATCCCACCCAGCTCCTGGTGCATTCTATGGTTATCTCCTGCCTTGCCTATTGTAACCCAATCCTGACTGGTCTCCCAGCCTGTATAATTAAACAAGGCGGCGCGTCTGGTGTTCAATCAGCCCAAAAAGTCTCACGTCACCACTCACTGGCAGCTTCACTGGTTACTGCTGTCTTCGTCAACCCTCTAGCAAAGGCTTATGTTGCAACTCTGTCACTTCAGTCATCAATGGACTTTCGTCTAGCAGGGTCTACACCACGCTTAAGACAATCCAGACTGTTTTCATGTGATGGTGGAATGACCTACCAAGCACTACAAGAACATCAGCATCCCTGTTTATCTTCAGGAAACTCCTAAAACCCACTTCTTCAAAGAGCATCCCCAATTCTAACTCTTAGCCATAGCTCTGTACCCCTCTACTACTCCTTCTGCACTCCCCTCTCTTTGCTGTCACCAGTGATTCTGACGAGGGATTTTCCTCTAGAGAACTTACTGTCATAGTGTTAACTGTAAGATTGTGTTTACTTTGTAAGTGGCTTTAGATAAAAGCCTCTGCTAAATGCATAAACATCTAAACGTAACAGATCAGTTGTGTATAAAAACATAATGATAGTACAATAGAAGAAAACCCCCGATATAACTCAATTTTAAAGTTTGAACAAACAAAAAAGATGAGTTTCTTTTCAGGTCTAAAACATCATATTTTTCTCTTTCCTGGACATAAATCCAAAACATCTGATGATTCCTTCAGAGTCTGACAGCAAAACTTTTAGAACCTTCAGGAGACAATTAAAAGTCCAGAGTCAAACAAGGAGTCTCTCATCTAAGGAGGTAAAATTCAACACTGCACTCTATCAGCTGATGACATCATCCTTTGACCCCTCCAGCTGCTGAGTCAGATTCACCTGGTTTCACCGATAGGACTCTGACTGATCACAAGGACTGTGTCCATCTGCAGGATTCTGCTGCCGGGTAGAATCTGAATCCTGAGGAAGCTGCAGGAGAGAAGACTTCATGGAGCGTCCATCTATATTGATCAAGGGAAGGTCTGCCCTTGATCAAGGCAGAATATCTTTTGAGTTTATGCCTGAATTAGGGGACTCTTCTGAAACCTTTAAAAAGCAAAGAAACAAGATTTTTTTTATTATTAACTAATTTAGTAATGGAGGAAGAAGAGTTGATGGGTTATACTCTTTCTTACTTACTTCTTGTACTTTTTCAATTTGCAGACAAAAACTGAACTCAGCGAAACTATAGAGAATATAATTATACTAATAATGGGAAAGAAAAGCATCATCCTGGATCGACCACCTGAAATTGAAGAATAAAAGAAGTCAATAATAAAGCAGAATTTGGTTATTAGATGCTGAAAGGTCTTTGGATCAACCTGCAGACTCACCGGTACCGACGGTCTCATTCTGAAAGGCTGGAGTGATTCTCTGAGTAAATGTCTCTGCTGTCGTCGTTTGAACAAAGTCCGGGTCTGAAACATCAACAGGATCCATTAGATTCTCCAGAACCAAATAAACCAACCAGAACCTGCAGTTTGGAGCAGTTTCCTCACCAACAACCAGCAGAACCTCTGCTTCTATGCTCAGGTTTGGGATGAAACATCTGAACCTCCCGTTATCCTCCAAGCTCACGTTGTGGATCCTCAGAGACACGTCTCCATGTCTCAGTCCTTCCGACAGAGACGTCCTCTGGATGTACGTCTCCATCATCATGTCTCTGTCCATCTTCCTGAACCGGTGCACGTACACGTACTCCACACGCTTCTGTGGGCCTGAGGCCTTCAGGTCCGGTCTGGACCACTCCACTGTCTTCTCCATGGCGTTCCAGTCAGGATTCACCTGACATGGAAGGATGACATCATCTCCAGGAGCCGCTATGATTGGTTCAGATGAAGCAATCAGCTGATAGTTACCTGGAAACACCGGAAAGTTTGTGAAGTTTTTGTAAATATGAATCATGTAACAACAGGAACATTTCCTCAACCCATCAACTTCTGTATTCGGTCAGTCAGATGAATTTAGAAAAAAAATCCAATCACAATTTGAGAACCTTCCAGGAAGTATTTCCAGCAAGGAAGGTATTTTTTTCCAGGAAGCTGTTACAGTTTCCATAGTGTCGTGATTTCCATTTGAATTCCTCGAAAATAAGCAGATCGGCACAGATATTCATCAAAAGGCTTTTCCAGTTTAAACAAAACAGACAAAGAAAAAAAAATCCCTGAGCGCTTCCTGATCCAAAAGTAGAGAAAGATGAGCAGTAAACAGTAACCCTTAGATGTGTTTCAGGAACAGGAACCAACATCTTCAACATGATAAACCCGTTGAACTGTTAACTGATGACAAGCTAATTAGCGAGAATAAAACCTCCTCAGGCTCTACTTGCTTCAACCTGCCTCAGCAACTGATCCAAATGACTTTTTATCACTTTGATCTAAAAGAAAACCTTTGTTAAATATATAAATATAATTATTTATATCAATCATCATAATTTATCTCAGTAGTCAGATCAATTATGTTCCACCAACTGTCCTCAGCAGGGTCAACTGAGGTAATAGATCGATGGAGACCATGGATGATAAACCTCACCTCTGATCCCCTATCATGGTCTATAAATAAATGCTCAAAATGACAATTATTGTATTTACAAAAAGGCTTTTAGTTTTTTATAAAACATTAAAATCAGAAAAATCTCATGTTGCTGTTTACAGATTAATGTTCCACAGTAATGTCCCAGCTGGATGCTGATCTGGTTTTATTCATTAATTCACCAAAGTCTGTTTTCAGATCAGATCCATACATTCACCATGACTCAGCTATTTTACAGCTGATATTTCTGTTTATTGTCATGTGACTCAGGTCTTTCTCTGCTTATTGCTGATTAATACCATCTGAAAAGGCTGAGTCATTATGATTCACATGCTGACTAACTGAATGATTCAAAGGAGCAGCTTTTTGATGAAAGGTATCAGGGACACTTTATAATGCAGGACTCTGACCCTCCTGTTGTTACTGTATCTGGACCCAAAGGTTTTGTTAGGTTTTCATATTTTGCTAAAAATTAGCCCAAACATAAATGTGAATCTCATCTATTTATCTATTGTTGAAACTGCAACAGTAATAAGAGATGCAATAGATTGATGGACAGGTGCCTTTTACTGCCTAATTTATAAAGTGCTGAAAAACTTTAGCAGCATAAATGTCAGCAGTGATACATCATGCTTCACTAGTTTTCACAACTACAATTAGAAAGACATCATTTACACTCCTATGTGTCCATCTACAGCTGTATTAGCAAAGATATGAAAAAATACTAATATAAGGCTGACATTTATGATTGTCAGATATCCAAATTGGCATAACTGGATAATTGTTTCAGTGATTTTTATCCTCCTTCAGAAGCAGCAAAATATAACGTTGAACTTTGGCATTTCTGTTCTTCTAAAATATTTTGAAGATTTATTATATTGTATACCAAAGTAAATAATTTTCATCACTTTAAATCTGGAGTTGTCCCTTTTTCTGTCTCTTTGTTCTATTAAAGAACATCTGCTGTATCTGCTAATATAATGATGCCACACAAATTATTTCAAGTCTCAGAAGGATTTATTTGATTTGGTCTCGATATCTAGAACCTCTGCAGTCTGAAAATGTCCTGTTTAATAAGAAAATGACAAATCAGTTAATTTTTAACTGTAACTCTGAGTTATGGTCCTCTGAAGGCCTGAACTGAATTATTTTGTTTGTTTTTGTAGTAGTAAAGAAGTAAAAATTTTTTTCAAGAAGTACAAATCTTTCCACCCCTTTTATAGAATAGAATAGAAAATCCCTTTACTGTCCCACAATGGGGAAATTTACAGCAGCAGAAAGATTATTGAAATGGTCACACAAATGAGGACCTTAGAAAAATGTATAAGAATAACATAATAGGGAAGAGTTAAAAAAAAACAATACAATTCTGTAAAGTGTTTTAACAATATAAAACTGGAGAATAAATAACCAATATGCAGCTATGGACATTTTTACAGTAATGGATATTTGAAAATAGCAGCAACATCAGAGATGCGCAGAATGACAGCAGCAGGTTATTTAACTGACTAAGGTTTCTATCATTACATTTGATTTTATTAGTTCCTGCTCCCGGTGGTTGGAACCTTTATTCCATTCTGGATTCTTGTGAGTGTAGTCTTTGTTCACTTCACAATAAAAAAAAAATAAATAAATACACAAACAGTTTTGAAAACTTCGGTTTTCATTCTTTTCCTGCTTTGTGTGTCAACTTTCACGGTTGCTTAGCAACAGAGCATACGGGTGTAAAACCCGCCGAAGGGTAGACCTGTTCGAAATTACAGCCAAAACACTTCCGGCCTCCTTATTTTCAAGGACTTCGAAGGATCCAGTCTAGGTAGACCGCGTCCTTGGAGGATGCAGCCCAGGATTTCGAACAGAGCCAACTTTTAATTCATGATAAAACAGGAAGTAGTTGCTGCTTATATTCCACTGAGTGTTTTCCTCTCCTCCAATCATCTAGCTGAAGACGCAGTGAATAGCCAATCACATTACACCTCAAAGTGACCGATCCAATGAAGTCACACCGGTAGGCGGGGCTTAGGAGCAGCGGGAGAGAGAAAAGCGCTGAATAAAATTGGCAGCTGCACATGTTCCGAGTAAATGACCAGGGAAAATTAAAATAAATTTGCCTATTATTGTTGGGGACTGTCCCAACCATAGCAGTTATTCAGACAATTCACCCCTTAAAACTCCTGAAATGGAGTAAACAATTAGCATTGTATTCTAAAAGACTACTGAAATCAAAGTCTTTTAACATTATTATCACAACTGTTAATGTTATTCTTTTAAAACTAAGAGTTTTTCTGAAACAGTTTCCCATCAGTCACATTTAGTAGAACCATATCCTTACCTTTAACAGGCGTCCAGATAAAAAACAGGAAGAAGGTAAAAATAGAAAATGCTGAACGGTCACAGGAAACCTGCAGCTCTCCCATCTCAGCACGTGGAGTAAGTTCCTATAATACGACGTAGGGCGTCGTTCCTCTCTGTTGACTGTACGTGTAGCGTCACTGAACTGCTGTAAGAAGGAGTGGAGCCTGTCAGTAAAAGAAGGATATATATATAGCCCCGCCTGTATGAGTCATAGCCACAGTGATATGAAGAGTATCGATCATACAGTGGAACAAATAGGAAAATAAAGAAAAAAACCCAGGATTCTGTCTGACTCATCAGAGGCGTGCACAGACATTTTGGGGGGCAGGTGCTCAGGAGGGGGGGAGGGCACTTTTTAGCGCACGTGGAACACTTAATTATAAAAAAAAATAAACGCATGTTGAATGAAATTTGACTTTTATTTGTAACATTCTCTAAACGTGAGTTGTCAATGGAAAAAAGTCACACCACCAACAGAACAGACTAAAGCGTACTTCTTTCATCTGGCTCATCTCCCTGCTCTCCCTCATCCATCTGTTCTCCCTCATCCTGCTGTTTTCCCTCACCCATCTGTTCTCCCTCATCCTGCTGTTTTCCCTCACCCATCTGTTCTCCCTCATCCTGCTGTTTTCCCTCATCCTGGTCTTTTTCTGTCTCTGTGTCTTCCCTGAACTCTTCCTCATCTCCTGTCCTGTTATATGTTGATGGTATAGAGCTTCCCTGCTGTGACTGGCTACAATATATTAATAATAACCATCATAATAATAATAATGATAATAATAATAATAATAATAATAATAATAATAATAATAATAATAATAATAATAATAATAATAATAATAATAATAATAATAATAATATTAATAATAATAATAATAATAATAACAGCTTTAACAAATATGCCACATTAGTTTAAATAATGGGCTATTAGGGCAACATGACTGGAAGTCTTGTTACCTGGATATGACTTATGGTAGCCTACAAAATAATAGCTATTTTAATACCTGCTGCACAAACCACTTAAAAATAAAATGTGAACAGCTTTTAAGATTTTTCAATATGATTAACCCTCCTTTCTTGGCATTGTGCTGCAATTACTAAATCAATATACAAGTAAGACAATAAAGAGACCAAAATGTATTAATTTATGTTGCCTAACAAAACCTATACAACAGAAAACGTTTGTCTTAACACATAGATTTGTACAGAAGAGGATTAGGGCCGCTGAAAAAAAAAAAAAGTTAACTGATTTTTAAATTTTATTTCAGTTTAACATGGGAAAAAAGTCAGAATTCTGACTTTTTTATTGTCAGAATTCTGAGATTAAAGTCAGAATACTGAGCAAAAAGTCAGAATTCTCAGCAAAAAGTCAGAATTATGAGAAAAAAGTTAGAATTATGAGATTAAAGTCAGCATTCTGACTTTTTTCCCATACTAAACTGAAATAAAATTTAAAAATCAGTTAACTTATTTTTTTTTTTCAGTGGCCCTAATCCTCTTCCGTATTTGCAATTGCAAACTCTACCAAAATTATTTGTAGCCTATGTGGTCGTCCTCACGTTATCTGTCATTGACTTGGGCTACAGTGTAAAACTTTCAGAATCAGAATCAGGTTTATTGCCATCGTTAGTGAAGGAGTTCACAAACTAGGAATTTTTTATGATACAATCGTGCAACATGAAACATATAATATGGAATAGGTAAATAAAATTATAAAAATATCTAAAAACTGTGGGTATACGTCATGCAATAAAATAGACTAATGTATACACTTAAGATAAAAAATATGGATACAAAATATAAAAAGTAAAATAGCATCTTACAAGGAGACAACTAGTTTATCTGGTGACCAGTCGGCAAAATGCGTGTTTGGTGCTGCTGAATGAGACATTTTAATGTACAACAAAATGATTTTGCTTGATCTGTATATAAACTGGCTAATGGGGCACGGGAGAAGCAGCCTGTCAGCGACCGTTCCTGCTATCTGAAAACTGCTATGATGCTGCGCATCTGGCATGCCCTGCGGGCGACCG